TAGGTTTAGACATGTCATTTTATAACCTAAGATTTGACACGATCTAAAGTTTTACACCATTTTCTGTTGCAATTTGATGTTTCGTGGTTCTTTGTGCATCAAGACAACAGCTTGTGACGTGCTAAGTGGTGGTGTGTAATTACACGCAACGTTAAATCAAAATTAAAAGCTTGGCACTGCGCTCACAATCACTGCATTGACTGCTTGTGGAAAAATGAACAAGAGGACAAAGTGCATTTGACGCCAGGTTGGATTTGCAAAAACAAATCTTTGCAGAGTCCATGACAGATGATCAGATAGCATCTGTTGCTTATAATCTCATGGTAAAGGTGCCATTATTTAGAACTGTCTGTTTTCAGGGAAAAATGGTTTGAGTTCCTATTTTTAATAAAAAAGACTTTGCCACGAACGACTGTCGGTCTCGTCAACACTGACATTTCCCGCTGCATCTTCCATGGATTACAGGTTAATGAAATGTTTGAACAAAAATTAAATTGTGCCTTTTGGCACCTGTAAATTAAAAGCTAAAACTGGGTTTTCAGTGGGAGTTTTCAGGACCGAGCAATACATTTTATCAATGTTTATCATTTGCTTGCCCATTTTTTGCACAGAATAAAGTGATGAGTTAGTCTATAGAGGTCACCAAATGAGAAACCATTCAAATCCAGACCTGATGTGTTATCTGGACACATGTTATTAAATTTCATCAGAATTATATTTAGGGTTGAATGGCTGTGCATCTCAATTCTTCCCACAAATCAAATGTGCATTATCAGTTGATGTATAATTTACTGTATTAAAATTGGTTCTAATGTTGACCATTAAGTTACAGGATATAATGTTTGCTGACATAAAAAAACAAGCCAACAAGCCATGAATCCTGCAACTCTCTGACCTGATGGTTCTGTAGATTTGAAGCTAATGACTGAGCTGAGTCCTGGATGATGACGGAGTCTGGGATGAAGAATATCCTGTACAACCTGAATCAGGAGCTGAGGTTGGAGGGACGACAAGGATCACGCAGCACAGAGCTGCATTGTTTTCCTCTTTGTACTGGTTGTGTTGTTTGCATAATGCTCCTGTTGTTTAAAGTACAAACCCAGATTCTGATCCTCTTAATATCAGCCAGAACTCTGCATCATGAGACTGGTTTTTCCAAGGATCCTGCAGACGCCAGAAGGGCAGTTTGCAAAAACTCAGGATCCTGCACGCAAAAAATCAAAATACACAACATGCACGCAGGAAAGGACGTGTTTATTATTGTCATATCTGTCTGTCTCGCTGTGTGTCATTAAACAAAACTCGTTATAAAACATTGGACAAATTTTGATGAATAACATTTTCACGGTTTGACCATAACGGCTAAAACTCTGTCACTTTTTGAAAATAGACTATCAGTCTTAAAACTCTGGCCTGAAAGGTGATGGTTATATGCGTTCCTTCAAGGAATCTTAAGCGTTTTAATGTTTTTAGGCTTCTGTGAGAAAGAAAAGAGGAAAGAAACAAAGTGTTATTTTGGTGTAATGAGAGACGTGCATAAAAACAAGTGAACAGTATATTTTCATGAGCATTTCCATGTCAACGAATCACATGTTATCACTGAGCAAGAGATATTTCCCACAGGGTTAAGTTTAATCTGCTGTCTCTCAAAGCTTTTCTTAGACACATCTATCATCCCAGATTTATGCCTGTTGAGTTTACAGCAGCTCAAAAGGCAGTTATTAATATTAAGGTTGGTAAAATAAGGAACAATAAAATGGCTGGCAGGGTTCGTGTTAGTGTTCAGAAGTCAAAAACCAACAACAAACTGAGGTTAGAATGATGAGGTCATAAGACATGAACCAAAACTGCAAGTCATGCTTGGATTCCTCAACACCGTTCTCCTGCTGACAATCAGCCGTTCTTCCCAGGCGAGCTCCTCTTCCCTTCTCTCAGTCAGAGTGGCGCGCTCTCAGCTAAATGTCAGCTTGGATCTGCTGAAGGGAGCTGAGCAGCTGATTGTTCACTTACAGGAGGAGTCGCATGCAAACATGTTCCCGTTCGGTGTTCCTGACTGACACGGAGCCATCAGTTAACCTCTGATCTGTGTCAGAGCCTCCACAGCTCTCCAGTTCTTACAACACACCGTTACATTCTGCCGTTTAACAACATCAGAATAAACTTTATTAGCATTGTACCGAAATACAGTGAGATTATGTTCGTACAGACGTCCAAAAGTTGGGCAGAATGCACGTTGCTGCTGCTCCTGTGTGCGCGGCCCCTAATCCTTTTTCAGAATAGTTTTTAAGATAGAAAAGGGGAGATCTCTTCACACCTTGTCCTTATCAAGACATGATTTAAGACATCAAAAAACGTTTCCATCAAGCACATTTATTAATGCGTTACATATGCATTTAAAATCAAGATGGTGAGATTTGTCCATGAAGCACTTCCAGATGGTCCATGGTCCTGAGAAGATGTGGGTTGTTGGGTGTTGTCATAGACAGAGATTTTCCTTAGTTTACACACATCCCAGGAGAAATTTGATAAGTCGGCCTGCTTCGAGGCCAAATAGGGGAGTCAGATTCAGGTAACAGTGATAAACTGTAAAAACACAAGACACAAGATTACTAAATACAATAACTTTAATCAAATCAGTCTCTAAAAACAATTTTAAAATCACTGCGCACCTGTAGCGTCTAATAAGCCAACACCCAGTCACGGCAAATCCAAAAAAGCGCCGACAAGTGTGGCCCTACCAGACAAAATAAAAATATAAACAAAACCACATAATACAATTTAAAAACCCAGAAACTTGCAAGCCAAACTGTGGCGTCGAACTATCCCACGCCCAGGCTGTCCTGCTTCAATCTCCTCTTTGTTAAAACTGTGTGGTCCTGTTGTAAAAATATCACGCATCAGAATAAATCAACCGTTTAAAAACAATCAATACATTTAAAAACAAACCTCCAAACCTACCGCAATCGCATGCACCACAGCATGCGTGAACCCAGCACACACCTGGCCACCCACAGGAAACTGCACCCTCCCATCAACACTGTCAACTTCCCTTTTTATAGAGGCTTAGACCACAGGGAAATTGTGACATCCTGTGGTGCCACCTGTTTCACTCGTCAGCCTCGAGTTCTGCTCATACTTTTAATCCAAAATGGCCGGATTTGTGGGTGTTCCACTGGTCAGTGCTTACAAGCCCCCTCCAAGGTCGTCCCCAACATGCTGGTGAGTCCCATAAACCGCAGGTGGCTTGCAATTCTCACAAATCACTTCCACCTTATGGTTTAGCTCGTAAATCAGCTGATTTTGAGTACTCAAAGCACGAACCAAACCTTCACACAGACTCTGCAGTTTTGCCGCCGTCTTCTTCAATAGTAGATAACAGGAATCCGTCAATGCCAAAAAGCAGAAACCCTGCAATCATCATTCCAATTACATAAACATCTTCAGCATCCTCCTGAGACAACACGGAAAGGCACATCATCTCCCAAACTCCTCACGAATCCACAATGTATCCTGCCACATGCGTCTCAGCGGGGCATGAGGGTTCTCCAGGATCCGGTGGCTTTGTTGAAAAGATGGTATTGATTGCGTTGAAAGTCCAGTTCACCAGATCCATGACAGTAGTTTTTCGTTTCGGAAGATGTGTAATAGGAGCCCCGATACACAGACAGAGAGCAAAAATGCAGGAGGAGGACGGGAGAGGGAAGAAAATGTGTCTGCCTTCCACGAGAGCAAATGAGGAGAGTATCTAACAGTGTTTAATATCGAACATTTCTGGATGACCGGAAATTAAATAAACTGATTTTTTATGTGGTAACCAATACATTTTCAGTCAAAAGTCTTTTTATTGGAAGGAATGCATATCACCGGCGACTTTCATGCAGGAGTTTTAGACCATCTTATTTTGAGTTTGTTTTAGGAAAAACTTTTGTTGTTTTTAAATGCATCAGTCTGCTGTTTTGCACACAAACATGAACAAAGATAAAGACATTTCATGACAAGAGAGCAAAATGATGCATAAACGTCCAATAATGTTTTATACAGTAGTTTTCATTAAACTCTCTCACGAAGCCTTAAGCATTAAAGCTGATACAGTTTTCTTTCTGCACCATCCCACATGGTGCAAACAAAATCAAAAACCCAAGAAGAGTCAACCTCCATGGACTAATGATGTTTTCATAACTAAAAATTAATAATCCAGTAGTTTAAATTGTTCCAATGGTTTGTCATCTGTCTCTGGCACACTCTTAACCCGAACTAGTTGACTTTACTAGAAAATCGCGTGGAAACCCGACCTATATTTTAGTAAAAAAGTACAGTCAACTTATTTGATTTAGTAATGAGACAACATTTTTACAAAACATAAAATAATAATTAATGATTACTAAAATGTGTAAATACAATTGATATCAGGGTTAAGAGCGCATTACCTGGCAACACACCATCATAACAGTGATCCATCCATCATCCACAGGTAAGATCATAAAGTAAATGTAATCTGCAGCTCGTTCACCTGAGATCATCCTCCAATTGAGCCACGTCTGCACCAAGAAATAAAATAAACCGTGTCTTTTAATAATCACTAAAGCAAAACATGTCAAAGTTGATCCATGTTTGTTTGTGACTTTTGTTTTTGCCGTTTGGATGAAAACGGGCGGATATGCGCCTTTTACGCGTCTGGCAAACAGGAAATTAGGAGAAAGGAAACGGATACAAGACCAACACATCTACATCCATTTATTTAATCGTATGAAGAACAAGAAGAGAGAGGGCGTTCTTCGTCTCCTTGTGCACACGGAGACCTACTCGCACAGAGATTGGATGAGAACCGCGAGAGAGACTTTGAGCGCGAGGCTTCCGCGCGCGCCACAGATGCTGTGCCACAGTTTGAGTGAGGAGGAGCAGAGTGGCAATGACTGGACCCGTGCATCACCTCACATAGGCTCAGAACCTCTCATGTGAACTTCTTCCTCTCAAATATCTCCAACAAAGCCACCGCTCGGATGGATTCCAGGCGCCACGGCGCACCGGTGATGCCCACACCGGACCCGACCGGCCGTGCACCCTGGAACATCAGCTCCATCAACCCGCAGAGGCTCGTGGAGGTGTCTCCTGTAGCTCCAGCTGTGAGTGTTTGGTTTTATTCAGACTGGTTTTTGTTTAAATCTGAACAATCATTTAATTTTGGGTTTATTCAATGAGGGAAATGCGTGAGATGTTTGCCCAAAAGGTGTTTATCTATTCATCTGACCTGCAGGCAGTGCTGGTTCCTTGATCTTTTTGGATAAGTGCTTGAAAACCTGAGCTGAAGCATTTGTTCTTTGCAAATATAGATAATTTCATAAAATAGTGTGGATTTGTTACAGCAGATGCAAAATGTGTCAGTATTTTTATTATATGTTCATCAAAAATACATTCAGAGGCAAATAATGGTTAAATATGAGGTCATCGTTGTGCAGCCTCACTCACAAATGAGTTTGAATGTTTGCCAGTTTTAAACTTTAATAAAACGACTGCTCCAAGTTTCAGTTCTTGAGATGATCAGGGTCTCAGAAGCCAAGCATCTCCTTCTGTCTGAGAGTGGAATCAGTTATCCTGCAGCCTTGAGGAAAATCCTTCAGTGCATCCATGAAGCTGCAGCTCATATAGGACACAGAAAAGAAAATAATGGTAAATTTGCTCTGCAGGAGTCCAGGCAGACATCAGATAAGGGTGATCTGGGACAGATGAAACGTTGGACAGATTTATAGACTGCAGAGACAGATGGGAGCGCTCTTTCAGAAATATTTGGGGTTTTGATGAAACTTTCTGGCTTAGATCCATTTTTCCTGTCGTTTTTATAAACATTGCTTGGCTTCTCAGTCTAATAGAATATATATTAAATTCTAATGCAAACGATCAGCTCGAATATGAGAGATGTGCTGGAAAAATAGTGGTGCAATTCTAATTTTTTGGGGTTTGAAACAGTTGCATGTCAGTCCTTTCTGATTTGTCATTTAGAAGGTGGAGAATTCTCCTTTTCTAAACACAAAAATGTTTTAATTGAGGACCTGCTCACAAGGTGTGGCTGACTCTGAGAGCATCAAGTGTGCAGCTCATGCGATATTCATCTGTATCATCAAGTCTGTAAACAAAGGAAGAAAATAAGTGATAATTTCCAAAGAAGGCAGAATACAGTGCTCAAAGGTGGGTAATATGGAGAGAGAGAAAATCTTGTCTGGAACATCTCCTCAGTTTATCACTGTCAATATTTAAATGATGAAATAATTGACAACTGTTGCAGGTTTTTCAGCCACCTAAAACAGAAGATGTGTTTCAGATCACTTTGTAAAGACTTAAAACTAAAGAAACCGTCTGAATTTTACATTTATGGTTTAAAATGACATAAAGTGTATACATATGTACAGGTATGTCCTCTAATGAGTGATCTCTTCATGAGTCTGTCCTCCACGTGAGCAAAATGGAACTCTGATCTCTGCATCACTTTTGGGGACCTCTAGTGGTTATAAAAGGAAGTGCATGTGCAATTACTGCTGGAGCTCTCAGTTAAGCCACTAAACATCTGATAATAAAAGCTGTTAAAAGGATTTGTGATGCAAAAATCCAACCAAACAATAAGTGAAAGCATGAAGGTCTAAACTATGAGATGCAGTGACCTCAATGAACAGTAAGCATGAAGAACACAAGTCCATTAAAACATGCTTAATTTTGAGGTTTTGTCTCATAATTACCAAACTTTTTGACGTATTTTACAATTTTCTTTCTCTTGCTTGAATGTGCAATTTTGTAAACCTCTGTGATTAGAATAGACTATTCAGACTTCTTAACACACTTTCTGTTCTATATTTGTTAACAGTGGTTTTAAGCTGCAGATTTTTGTTGGCAGTACTCTTTGCCTTTTTTCCATTTCATTTTAAATCATACCACCTTTTCATAAACCCTGGACAATGCTACATATACACAGAATATGACGAAGAATTAAATGAAACGTTTAAAAGCAGCTGTGACGATTCACAAATCAGGACTTTGTGTGAAGAAAAAATAAAATAAAAATGAATGAAACAAACAAGAAAACAAGCTGACATACATAATAAAAAAAAATATATATATATAGAAAGAAGATGAACTCAGCAAAAATACCCCATTATAAATCCAATTTATTGGAAAAACAGACAACGTGAAGTCACTTTGCACATTTTGGGAGCAGACGAACCTCTTCATTTACTTAGTCAATGAGCAATGAGCCTGTCTGAGACTTAATGAGGCTAAATCATTTCCAGAACTAGTTGATAAATGAGCCGTATTACTTAAATATAATTGTGTTTGTGCTGTTTATTTACTTCATGGGAACTCTTTTTAGAAAACAGTTGATTCAGGGTAACAAACTTCTGTTGTAGAAGAATTAATTTGTACATTTATAGTTGTCTATGTTTACTTAAATTAACTAAATGTGCTCTTCCTAATCTTCACTATCAGTCTCACTCCATTTCTATCACCGTGTGTTAGACAGTTGTTAGCTGATGACGTGAAGACAGCAGGGAAACATAACACGACCCACCGTTTTCTTTCAATCTTTGAAAAACACAAACTTTCCCCAAGCAGCTCGATGAACCCTTTCCATCTCGCCTGCCGCTGTGATCGGCCCTAATCTGCGTCTGAGCCGGAAGATGGGAGACATGAAAGGAAAGAGAGGGAGGAAGGGAAAGACTGATCAAGAGATTTCAGAGAGGAAGACGTGGCGAAGGTTTGAGAATCAACTAGGAGGATGAAGAGATCAGGCAGGTCAAGAGGCAAAGATGTGAAAAGGAGAAACAAGACAGAGGGGGACTTTAAACCAGACCGGAGGGGAAAGAAAAAGTGTGATCAACCTTAACACCGACAATGATATCAGACTTGATTATAATGGATCTACATTACACACACACAATCTAGTCCCATCTTCCGTTACACTCAATCTCTTGCATACCGGTAATCTTTTTTTCCTCCGCTGTAAAAAATGTCCTCATTTTAGCAGGATGAGGTTAAAACTCTGAATGAAACTGCTGAAACAGATGTTTGACAAATACACAGAAATATACTAAATACACTGAAGTATACACACTAGCCTCTATGTCAGGGCTATTCAACTGGCGGCCCGGGGCCCAAATCAGGCTGAGGGGTGAGACCAGTAAGGCCCACCAGTGGGCTCATTTTTAAATAAAACTAGATTTTAAACCATAAAACAAACTTACTTAATGAGAACAGCGACTGGATATACCAAAGTACATGCTCAATATTCCAGGTATAAAAATCAAATGTTCAGTCGGGTCATCTGGACGGTTTCTTTTTTTTTTGTGCTGAGACATTTCACCTTCCATTCAAAAGGCTTCATCAGGAAACGCCAAACAAAACTACTGGTCCCCAGCAGCCTATTCCAAAGTGGGAAAAACCAGTTATGTTTGTGATAAGATGATCTCCGGTGCCCGCCCTCTCCCTCGTCGACAGTCATGTCAAACTGGTTCAAAGCACCAAAGTACATGCTCAATAATCCAGGAATTGTAATCCAGATATCCAGAGACCATTTTAGCACCAACATAACTGTTTTCTTTTTCCACTTTGGAGTAAGCTGAAGCAGATTTGTTTGACATTTCCTCAGACTGATGAAGCCTTCTGGATGGAAGACGAAACATCTCAGCACAAAAAAAAAAAGAAGAAAGAAACCGTTCAGATGAGCTGACTGAAAATTGTTGAATATCCAGCCCCTGAGCGCTTGGTTTTCAGTAACTGTGGCCCCTTGAGTAGTTTAGTTGAATATCCCTGCTCTGTGTGATCCTGTTAAACTCTGTGGAAAGTGACGAAGAGGAAGAAGAAGCTCGGCGGAGGACGTCTTGGTGATGTGTGTCTGGATGAGTGTGGGTGTGTGAACAGCTGCGCAAAACAAAAAAACTTAAGGGAAACCTTGATGCCAAGGATTAGTAAGAATCTGACATGAATTCTGTTGAGTTGTACCTCAGCTGGAAATGATTATCATCACATGTGAACTGTTGGTTGACAAAAGCTCTGCTTTAATAAAAATGCAGTCCTTCAACTTTGGTGTTCTCAAGTTTGCACTTTTTATTATTTAGATCACTCTCAGCTGTTTTCGAAAGTGGAGCTCTTACATTTCTCATATTTTGACTCAAAAAACTGACAGGGAATATTACGTTTGCAGAGATCATCGTTAGAACTGTGGCTGACCCAAATGTATAACATCTATGAACAGGCCAGAAAACAGCCTCAAGGTGCCAGGAATGACAGATCCATGTTGAGATGCTGAATAATCAAGACGGTGTGGGATGGTTGGCGTTTCAGCGTGCACCGGGACGGTTCACAGCTGGGAGGAGAGCCAGCTGAGGGCTTGGTGTTCTGTTGCATAAAGGTAGAATCCTCCCTCAGGGTCAGAGGTGAGTCTCTGCCTCAAGCAGAGAAGTTCAAGCATCTGAGAACTGCTGACAAGTGATGGAAGAACGGAGCAGGACGATTGACAGCTCGTGCCTCTTTCTTAGTAATGAGGGCGTTGCGTTGGTCAGTTGTGATGAAAGGCAAAGCTCTTCCAACCCCAACCTTTAGCCATGAAGTGTGGGTCATGACCATAAGAACAATATTCCAGATACAAGCTTCCTTCATAGGATGACGGGCTCAGCCTTAAGAGATTGGGTGAGGAGCTCCGTCATGCAGGGGGAGCTCAAAGTAGAGCCGCTGCTCCTCTTATATCAAAAAGAATCAGCTGACGTAGCTCAGGCATCTGCTGAGGAGGACTCTGGAGGGAGTTTAGGCACAGCCCACTAGTAGGAGACCCTGGGGTAGACCCAGAACTTGCTGGAGGACCTCCAGGAGAAGATGAAAAGTGTCGCTGGGGAGAGAGAACTCTGGGTTTTCCTCCTGGACTTGTTGCTTCTGAAACTCGTCCAGTGGATGGACGGATGGATGGATGGATGGATGGATGGATGGATGTCATTTTGAACATCTTTTATGTTTTTAACTGTAAGTTAGCTTTTTAATTTTCAGTTTTTCAGCTGTTTACATTATTGTTTTGTTTTGTTTTTTACCAAACAACTCCACAGTGTTTTGTTGCCACATTTTCACTATTTTGCTCTAAAACAACAGTTTTTCTGTTCGTCTGCCTCCAGGGCGCCATCGTCCCAGCTCATCCGTTCCCAACAGTGAACGTCCCGGACCACGCCCACTACATCATCGGCGTCGTCATCCTCGCTGTGGGCATCACAGGCATGCTGGGAAACTTCCTGGTCATATACGCTTTCTGCAGGTATTTTATAATATTCCTTTTAGAGGCTTGAAGCGTTAAATAAACTCACTTGTTTCCTGTATTTGTCCATCACAGCTCATATGCTAAAACGTGAAGACTGATTTAGTCTTAAATTTGAAGTATTTTAAAGTATGTCAACAGCCAGGTGTGTGTGTGTGTGTGTGTGTAGGAGTCGGGGCCTTCGGACACCATCAAACATCTTCATCATTAATCTGGCGGTGACAGACTTCCTCATGTGTCTCACCCAGACGCCCATCTTCTTCATCACCAGCATGCACAAACAGTGGATATTTGGAAAGAAAGGTACGACATGCTTAAAGGTACATTTACAACCAAATATGTAAAGTATGCAATAAAGACTTACTAAATATATTATATAGTTGGATTTGTGCACACATTTTATTTCAAGCAGCCATGTTGTTAAACTTCTGTGTGACCTATATCACCATAACCAATGTTTTTTTATTGTAAAGAACGAAACTCAGTGCATTTAGAGACACCTGCCTCTAAATGAACTCACATGGAGGTATCCAAGTGAAACAATGCAGATGATTTGATAAAACATTAAGAAGTGGTGAACAAGACTCTGCTTTGACCTTGATAACAAGTAATATTCATGCCTTTTTCTTTCAGATTCAAATTTCCATATTTGAACGTGATTTTTAATAAAAGTGAGGCTTTTAAGGTTGTAATATTTGGAGCTGCTGCTTTGCTACTCAGTTTATTGAACTCTTTATTGCACCAGGAATACATTTAGTCTGACAAGAACTAACATTTCTTTGTAATTCCTTTAAGGTGGTGAAATTATTTTAAATTAGCCCTTTTGAAATACTTAATTAAAGCCGTTAGAGCGGCGCATTAAGTGCAATTTTAGTGCAGAAATCTTCTGATACTTAAAGAAAATCATCCAAATGCAGTTTGACTAAAGTGTTGGCTGGAAACCAAAAAAAAAAAAATGTAATTAAATATGAGTTTTTATGATTTTTTTTTCTTTTTGTCAGAGAACAGCTTGTGCATTGAATGCCAAGTATGGCAGGATTTCATTAAAACACTTGATGCAACATTTCGTACAGTGAAATGACACTTTAGACAGCCTTTAGAGTGTGTTTTCAGAAATGCTTGATTTTTTTGTCTTTGTTGTTTGTACACTGTTGTTGTGCGTTGCAGCTCAACGTTGTGTCAGTTTGTTGCTTCAGTAGCCTGCAGAAAACAGATTTAGTGAATCAGAGTTTAGTTCTCAGGACACTGCAGGTATTTTGTTTCCACAGCTTTACAAATTAAAAAAAAAAGTTAAATCATGTCATCTGGACAGATGTTTCTTCCAAGAAGAATCTGTCCAGATGACATTTTGTCTTTCATCCAAAAGTCTGAAATATGAGGCCTGCCTTCCAAAATCTGTTGTATACAGTAGTCCCTCATTTATTGCAAGGGTTTCTAAGTAGAAGTACCACAATAACATTTTACTTAAGTAAAAGTAAGTACTTGCTTTTAAAAACACTTCAAGTATTAAAAGTAAAAGTACTTGCTGAATGTATTACCTAATGCAATGGTCTACAATATCATTAAGTGTTTCTACTGTATGTATATTATCTGTAATACATTAATAGTGTTGTTCCATTTTAATGAACGATGCTGCAGATAATTCATGTTATTATTGTGTTTACCCCGTGACACAGTTCACACTTGGACTTGTGATTCTGTGCATCAGAATTTCAGGGATGACCTGCAGAGTTAAATGCCATTAAGCAAAATAAGAGAGGAATGATTATACCTTTGAAAGTTTTTATATAACACAAATCAAAACCAATGTGTCATTTTAACTGCAGGAAACACATTTAAGTAAAAGTTGTCTGTCTGAAAAAAGAAGCATTAGACCTGACAAAAGAATAGACACTGATCAGTTCAACTCCAGTTTCTCATCAACTCTAGTTAAAATACTGTCTAGTCAACCTTGTAATGGGTCAATAGTGAACAATATTTTAACTTCCTGACATAATTTTCAAAATTTGGACCGAGTGTCGAGACATTTGGAGACATCTCTTGTCTCCTAACATCCCATGAACTGACACATTTTAATATTTGTAGCAAGAATTTTATGTTTAAGTTCAGAAGAAGTGGTTTTTCAAAGTTTTTTTTTAATCCAGTCTGGCTCTTTTGAGAGAGAATCTGTCCTGCTGTATTGGATAGTCTTTCAATAGTCTTTCAATAGTCTTGCAATAGTTTTTCAATAATCTTTCAATAAGGCCATGGGTGGTGGTGGAATCCATTTTGGGTGTGTTAGCAGTGCTGTGGGTGCACCCAGCTCAGTGACGTGTATACTAGAATATACGTCATTGGTCCAGCTCTTCTTGAAGGTAGGTCTAACGTTACCTGTCCACTTTGCAGTGATTCAATGGACCAACTCCCCTCTCGCCATTGGTTAATTTCAAACTAACGAACAAATCAAAAAGCTGCAACGTGGATGTAACTTGTAACAACGCATTATAGAAATGTAGTGTAGTAAAAAGTACAGATACTTATTGTAAAATGTAGTAGAGTAAAAGCCAAAAGTACCAACATTGAACTCTACTTAAGTAAAGTACAGATAAATGAAAAATTTACTTATGTACAGTAACAAAGTACTTGTACTTCGTTACATCCCACCACTGGTGAAAGCAGAGAAACATCTAAAACATGCAGTATGGTGGCCCTTGAGGACCAAGATTCAACACCATTGAGGACTTAGTTCCTATGTTTCTTCATGTCACTTTAATTTCATCGGTTTAGATCTTGGTTTGTGTTCAGTTAATTTCCACACCTGCAACTTAGACTTGATGAAGTTTGACTTTAACCAGTATTTCACCGGGCTCTCACTGTTGGTGACAAACAGTGAACAGCATTCGTGAAGTTTTTTAAGTGTCTCCAGATGTTTGGAAGGCTTCTCCTTTTGTCATGTGAATCACAAGGCCTCATTCTCGTGTTGTTGGGTATTTGAACGTGTTTGATGTTTGTGTAAAATAGTAGTCTCAAAATAGAGTCTGAAACCTGCCTCGAACTCTTCTCAATTTGGGTTGTGTGAGTTAGAAGGTGTGAAAAGCGTGAGACGGCTTCGAGAGGATTTGGAGTCCTGTAAAACTAAATTGTGACTCACTGGAGACAAAAATAGAAAATGAATTGTGATCAAGGTGAGACATAATTTAGATACTCAACTTTATTCAGCTTTCTTTCCATTTTCTTCTGGCTCTTGCTCAAGATGGATGCTTCTGCTCTCCCTCTCCTGTTCTCCTCTTCCTCCTGCTCTTGCTCTCTGTGTGTTTTGAAGCTCCTGGAACACATCTCCAGAACGAAAAATACTATTATGGATCTGGTGAGCTGGACTTTCAACAAAAATAAACAAAATATTTTCAACAAAATGACAGGATCCTCGAGAACCCTCTTGTCTGGCTGAGACTCATGCTGCGGGGTACGTCAGAGATCCGTGGGGAGTTTTCAGCTGATGTGTTTCTCAGTTCTGGCTCAGGAGGATGCTGAAGACATTTATATATTTGAATTTATAGCAGCGTTTCTGCTCTTTGGCATCAATGGGGCTCTGTTGATCAACTTTTGAAGAAGACATCAGCAGCAGCTTCAGCCATGGCAAAGCTTCCGAGTCTGTGTGAAGGATTGGTTCGTGCTATGAGTACTCAAAATCAGCTGATTTACGAGCTAAACCATAATAAGATAGAGGCGACTTATGAGAATCGCAGGCCACCTGCGGCTTTAAGGACTCGTCAGCATGTTGGGATCGACCTTGAGGAAGGCTCATAACACAAATCAGTCGAGTGAAATACCCATAAATCTGATTATTTTGGACTGGGAAAGTTCCAGCAAGAATCAAGGCTGACAAGAAAAAAAACTGTCTGCCTGAAGAAAATCAACAATTGTGGCTTCTCCGAATCTGACTCCCCCATTTGGCCTCGGATATGAGTTGACTATCAAATTTCTCCTGGGACATGGGTAACTGGTACTGGGACAAAGCTTTGACCAACATTCATAACCCATAGAGATACAGGGTTTATGTTCTGTCTACACAACTACAACTATTTCCAGAAACAGACTTCTTATAAACTTTGCATTTTAAAAATAAGTCCCAAAACGACGGTTTTTAAAAATGTTCTTGGTGCGTCTGTGTGTAAAGACACAGAGCTCTTGGAAATAATGAGGTAGCAGCCTATTTCAGGCTCTATTACTTAAAACCACATCAACAATGGAGCTGTTTTTACAAAGTTTTCTTGTTTTGGTTTTGTTTGCCTGTGTTCATCCTGATCCTTTTTTTTATTTTTATTTCTTCTCAGATACGAGAAGCTTAACAAAGGCTTCCAAATTAATTTGGAGGAAAGTCCATATTTACAGTAAGCTTCTTTGCCATTGTGGTTTGATTTGAGTATTTCAACACTTTAAAAACTGTCATGTAGACAGAATATGTTTTACAAATGAAAAAAATAAAGTTTGACAAACATGTCCAGAGGAGTGCTGACAGTGCCTTAGTTTCATTGTATTCCCCCCATCCTGACTGAGATATTTACCATGAACTATACAATGTGCTGAACTTTGCTGTCAGAACAAAATGTCTCAGAACTTTAGATTATTCTCCAGAACATCTGTTGCTGCTTTGGAGCTTGTATGAACCAGGCTTTACATGTCAAACTGACATACAGATGCTGTGATACTAGTTTCAGGACAATTATTTGCTTGAGCCTTTCACACAAAAACAAAAACTACAATAGAGATTTCATCTCGTTCCAGGGTGAGATGAGTTGTGACTGTTCACATGATCGTTTAAACGCTGATCGTACACTCGGAGCCTACGGATAAAGTGATGACTGAATGTTTGTTTTGTTGCTGAAGCTGTGCGTCTGCTTGTGAAGGAACAAAAATGTGGATGAGATCTCTCTGTATATTTACAACAGAATGCTACATTGTAGACCCTAAACCTGACAGCGCCTCAGTTCTTAACCTTTTCTAAGTTTTGACGTGGACCGACTCCAGTTTGAGTTTTCAAACTGCCGGGTTTCATTTTGAACAAACAGTTGCAGGTTGAGGCCTGAGGGCTTCAGCCAAAGACGACTGATTGTTGAAAACAATTGATCTTTCATCCAGAAGTCTTTTTGCCCGATTCCTGGATTTTAGGCTCATGTGGGGTCATTCACACCTCGGACCACAGAGGTTCAGTGATGAGACAAGAGCTCGGCTGTTTCTGACAGACACAAGGGCTTTATGTCCCAGACAAACATGTCTGAATAATGAACAAGACTGCAAAGGTTTGATTAAAGTCATCTGTGTAAGACTTAAAATGTGAAAAATGATTTGTTTTAATCACCCAGGTTACTTAATTAAAGAAAAAATGTTTAGCTCAAATAGAACGATTGTCGTCCAACCAGAGAAATAGCGATTCCTGTAAAAATACATTGCTGAATGACTGCTGAAATATGCTGAAGAAGCAGAAACTGAAGTGTTAAAGCTTAAAGGACTAAATCACTGACTGAAAGCTTAAAAAAGCAAAGTGCTAGCTAAAAGGCAAAAGCTGCAAAAGGTATGGTAGCTAATACTTTGTAAATGAAAGTGGCAAAGGGCTAACTAAAATCTAAAAGCAGTTAAGATAAAAGCAGCAAAATGCTAGTTAAAAGTAGCAAAAACTAAAAGTAGCAAAAGGCATAGTAAAAATTAAAAGATCAGGAATAGTAGCAAAAAAGCGAAAGTAGCAAAGTGTCAGCTAAAAACTAAAAGTAGCTAAAAGATACAAGTAATTAAATGTACCAAAAACTAAAAGTAGCACAACACTGGCTAAAGGCTAAAAGTAGCAAAAGGCTAATTAAAAATTTAATGGTGAATGGTAGCTACAAACTGAAAGTAGCAAAAGGCCAGCTAAAAACTAAAAGTAGCTACAAGATAAAGCTAAATGTAGCAAAAACTAAAACTCGCACAAGACTGGCTAAGAGATAAAAGTAGCAAAAGGCTAACTAAAATTAAAGGTGAAGAATGATAGCTAAAAACTGAACAAAGCACTGAACAAAGCAAAGATTTGGCTAAAAGCTAAAAGTAGCTAAAAGATAAAAGATAAATGCTAGCTAAAAGTAGCAAAAACTAAAAGTAGCTAAAGGCTAACTAAAAATTTAAAGTAGCAGAATATTAACTAAAAATGTAAAGTCGCAAAAGTTTATTTAAATGTTTTAAGTATCTAAGCTAGTAAACTGCTAGTTAAAAGTACCAGTGGGTTATATAGAAACTAAAAGTAACAAGGTTGGCTAAAAGCAAGCAAAAAGCAAAAGGCTAATTAAAATCTAAAAGTAGCTAAAAGCAAAAAGTAGCAAAAGGCTAGCTATAAGGTTTAGCTCTGTAGCATGAAGCTGCACTCCTTCAACTATGACCCCTGACTACCCCTTGCTACAGCTCAAAGGTCACCATGGAACAGGAATACAAAAACAGAGAAGATCTGCCGCTGCACATTTAAAAGAGAAACGTATTTTTGAAGTAAGTGACAAGAACTCAATGTATTTCTAAGGGGAAGTATTTGTAAATAAATTTATATATTGTACAACATTTAAAAGTAATAAACAATCAAGTCACTGCACCCATATCCTGAATGAACTGAATGTTTTACATATAAATGTCTAAATACAAAGTATGTGGAAGTTAGGCTGCAGTCACACTACGTATTGCAAATACTCTCTATCTAAAACTAGTCACAAACTATATTGTTCATATATGTTTAAACCTCATTTAAATTAATTTTATGCACACAATGGTGATGTATGTTGGAATAAAATTCAGTTTCCAGAGTAAATAAAAGATAATGGGTGGATGGATGCATCAATTGCAGAGAGGTGGCTCAGTTGGTTGAGCTGTTGCCTCTCAGTGAGCCAGATCAAATCCCATCCGGGGACCTTTCTAAGTGGCGTTTGCATGTTCTCTCCGTGCACGTGTGGGTTTTCTCCAGGTACTCCAGTTTCCTCTTACAGACCAAAAACATGCATGTTAGACTGATTGATAACTCTATATTGTCCCTAGGTGAGAGTGAGAGAGTGAATGGTTGCTTGTCTCCGTGTGTCCCTGTGATGGACTGGAGACCTGTTCAGGGTGTCCCCGCCTCTCGTACATCGACTCCTGGATATGGGAACCAGTGACCTTGAAAGCAAGAAATGGGTAAAGATAATGGATGGATATTTTTTGTATTAACTTTGTCTAATGCGCTCCAGGCAGAGCAGACTGCTGCGTTTCCTGCTCTTTTCCCATAAGACCAGTAAGAAAGTCAGTTTAGAAAAAGGTAAACATTTGAAAGAATAAATCAAAGCGCAGCACACATGAGATACAGTGAAGGCTGATGGTAAATAATGCATGAAACATTCATCTTAGTCATGGCTCTGTTTGTTAGTTTCTCAATTGTGTTACACAAACAGAGTGAAACCAAGATCTCTTCATTCTTCTCTGTGGGATCAGGTGAAAGGCATGTATAACACTGTCTGTGTGTATATAAATTAATTAAATTTAGCCAAAATATTTTCTACTATTCTGTAATATAGTGGGAATTTGGGGGTTTGTAAGGTCCAGCTTATGCAGATTATAATGAATCATGGCCTATAGCTTTTCCTTTCCATTAATTTTATATTAAACAGTTTTGAGAAGTGTGAGTTTTTGGAAGGGGAGAACTCAAATCTATGCAGCAAGTGTGAATACATTTTTTTTTTGTACAAAATATTGGACAGAAAGTCTAGAACATAATTCAAAAGAGCAGCAAAAACGTCCCTTACCATGAAATATTAAACAATTTAAACCGAGATAAAATTCTCACAAGAAACAACTGAAAATAGGAGAAAACGAGGAACCAAACACGTGTGGTCGACTAGCTGGGGTCCGAAAGCTAACGGCTAATATTGACATGCACCGATACAAAAATAAAACAAAATATAAAAGCAATAGAAAGCTGACACAATCAATTAAAGAAACCATGACACAGAAAATCAAATAAGAATAAAACCGCAGCCAAACTCTTAAACGATTATCCCATCCTAAATGTCTCTCGTTGTGTCTCTGCTGCGCAGGATGTGAACTGTACGCCTTCTGTGGAGCGCTGTTTGGGATCTGCAGCATGATGACGCTGATGGTGATTGCAGTGGACCGATACGTGGTCATCACCAGGCCTCTGGCCTCTCTCGGGGCCATGTCTCACAGAAAAGCTCTCGGCTTCGTGTCTGCAGCCTGGCTCTACTCCGCAGGTTGGAGCCTCCCGCCCTTCTTTGGATGGAGTGAGTACCAAACGTGCAAACGGACTTGAGGAAAGTCCAGTTTTGTTTTTTATTTCTTTTGGATTTGTTCTGGATGAATGAGAATACACCGGCGTATCGCTTAACATCAAATGATGCACATTTTGCTAACAGACTGTGCTACTGCTTGGGTCAGCTTTCTGGAGTAAAGGTTCAAATGATCATTTGCTCCATCTGTATCTGAAAGTTATAAATTGTTAATTATGTCGAAAAAATGAAAATGCTCAAACTTGGAAAGTGCTTTCATTGATTTTTCGATGTAATAAAACCAAAGGAAACTAATCAGCTGTTATGAACAAACAACTTATTAGTAAAATATTAACTTTTTATCTGCCTTCTGTCATCACAATTGCATTGGATTAATTTATGTAAATATGAACAAATTGTCTAAAAAATAATAATACAGCAAATCATTCCGTAAGTTAAACTCACAAGAACTGAGTGATATTTGATTTTTTTTTTTAAATTTGAATGAAAAAAAAAAACACGAGTACAAAAAAAAAAAAAAAAAATAAATGTTAGAAATATGCAGCTAGTTATGGACATTTTAACATAATAATGGTGCTAATCATCAACTTCCCCAGATTTACCAATACAAACAAAAAGCAACTCATTCATGCTTTCACCCTTAATTAGCTCTTTTGTTCAGACGCCTATCCTCTTATCTTTTAGTTTATCCCTTTATTTTAGATTAATAGAACTTTGATTATGAAATATATTGAATCCTGGGAATTATTTAAGTGTAACTTGTGGTTCATTGATGATAAATCCAACAGCTTCATCTTAATTTGAGACATGATTATGCTAATACACCAAGAATATTCCTTCCGCAAAGTTAATGGTGTCGAACTCGGTTACCAAAAAGGAGGCAAAATTTAAAAACTTTGTCCAAGCCATATACATGTACATATATATATACACATATATCTGTCTCATATGACGTTCTGTTGCTCTTTCCACATGAAAATCAATAATGATAGAATGATCTAACCATCTTTCTGGCTTCAAAGTTAGCCAGCAGGCAAGAGAAGTCTAAACTAATTGATGTAGTTGTTTTTTTTAAAGAAAAAATTAGAAGAGATTCAATATTTTACATTTAAGTTATCACCTTGGGGGACCAGATTTGGCCTCTGGCTATTGAGTTTGACATATGTGAGTGCAAATGAACGCTACATTTTCAGTGTTGTAATGTAACGAAGTAGAAATACTTTGGTACTGTACTTAAGTAGAATTTTGACTTGTCTTTACTATACTTCGATATTTACATTTCTAGCGACTTTCACTTTTACTCTACTATATTTCCTCAATAAAATGTGTACTTTTACTTCAATATATCTCCCTTAACCTTCTTCGTTACTCGATCCTACAATATAAAATTCGAATAAATCTGATTGGGCAATATAATATATATTGGGTTGCTAAAAAGGTTTGGTGTTCTACAGGGCATTAACTGCTTTAGGCAAGGTATGAAGTTGTTGGGCCACTTGTCTTCCCATTAAAGAACAAAGAGACAGATATACAGTTTAGGATGATTTATTTGCTGTGTTTCTTCTGGTATTTACACACAGCAGTAAACCAAGCTTGAACAACAAGGCTCCATCCATGTCAGGAAGAAAAGAGAAAAAAGAACAACTCCAGCTGAGCTCAACACTTTACACAGAGCGGTGCATTCACGGTGCATTCAAGAGCATAGGAACTATTAAATTCATAAAGAAACAAGCCATAACTAAACAGAACCTAGCTCGGTAAACAAGCCAACTACACAACAATGTGGGCTTTCTAACAGCTTTGTTAATAAAGGTTACTAAAGTTTGAATACTTCATTAGAAACAAACTTTTTAAAGATCAATCTTTTGTTGTTCAGTTCAAACTTTCCAAGTTTTTATCATTGGATACTGCATCCCAATAAATGTTGTTTTGGATATTCTAACCATTCACTTTTACTTAATACTCTTACTTTAAGTACATTTTATATGAAAAATTTACTTTTGATACTTAAGTACATTAAATGTCAGATGCTTTAAGACTTTTACTCAAATAATAATTTTTCAAGGAGACTAACTTTTACCAAAGTAATTATATGGTAAGATACTTGTACTTTCACTGAAGTATCACTTTAAGGTACTTTATACAACACTGTGCATTTTGAACTAGGTGCAAAATGTTTACAGAATGTGGTTCTACTGTTTTTACTTGTTGGCGTTCAGTAACAAGTTCATGTTCTCCTGAAGGTGCCTACGTCCCCGAGGGTCTGATGACGTCGTGTTCTTGGGACTATATGACGTTCACCCCTTCGGTTCGCTCCTACACCATGCTGCTCTTCACCTTCGTTTTCTTCATTCCTCTCTCTATCATCATCTTCTGCTACTGCTGCATCTTCAGAGCCATCCAACGTACGACACGGTTGGTTCACACACTTTGTACTCTCATTTGTCCACTGATGAGCTCATGTGTCATAATAATGAGCCTTTACTTTATAAATAAACAGAGCACGGGTTGACGAGTGCATCAAAGTTGACATTTAGGTCAAGTTGCAAATTATATTGTGAACAAAGTCTGTGCTTGGCAGGGCGATAACAAAGATCAACTGTAAGGGGACCAAAGAGTCGGCAAAGAAGTTCCATAAAATGAGGAGTGAATGGAAGATGGCTAAAATCGCCTTCATCGTCATCCTGCTGTTTGTCATCTCCTGGGCGCCGTACTCCTGCACAGCCCTTACTGCGTTCGCAGGGTAGGTAGACAAGTTTGTGCACTTTGCTGTCTGAAATTCTGTAACAACATTGGAATATTTTTGATGAATCCATCCATTTTCCACTTGTTCCAAAGTCGGGTCACGGGGGCAGCATCTTGAGCAGGGAAGTACAGACATTTCTTTCCACAGCCACCTCTTCTAGCTCTTCCGGGAAGACTCCAAGTGTTCCCAGGCCCACTGAAAAACAGTCTCTACAGCATGTCCTGGGTCTTCTCCGGGGTCTCCACCCAGTCAGATAGACCCAAAGCACCTCCCTAGGGAGGCGCCCAGGGAATTTCCTTACCAAATGCCTGAACCACCTCAACTGGCTCCTTTCAATGTGTATGAGCAGCGGTTCTACTCCGAGTCCCTCCCGGATAACCGAACTTCTCACCCTATCTCTAAGGGAAAGTCCAGATACCCTGCAGACAAAACTCATTTCATCCTCTTGTATTCACAATCTCGTTCTTTCGGTCACTACCCAAAGTTTGTTACCATAGGTGAGGGTAGGAACGTAGACCACCTGGTAAACAGACAGCTTTGTCTTACAGCTCAGCTCCCTCTTCACTACAACGGACCGGTATAGAGTCCACAATACTGCATATGTTACACCAATCTGTCAATATCACACTCCATTCTTCCCTCACTAGTGAACAAAACCCTGAGATACTTGAACTCCTCCACTTGAGGCAGAACCTCACCCTCGACCTGAAGAGAGCAATCCTCCCTTTTCCGACTGAGGACCATGGTCTCAGATTTGGAGGTGCTGATTCGCATCCCAGTCGCTTCACACTCGGCTGCAATCCGCTCTAGTGAGAGCTGAAGATCACGGCATGATGAAACCAACAGGGCCACATCATCCATTAATAGCAGAGATGGAATCCTGAGGCTATCGAACCGGACTCCCTCCGCCCCCTGGTTGCATTGAGAAATTCTGTCCATAAACGTTATGAACAGAATCAGTGACAACAGGCAGCCCTGGTGGAGTCCAACTCCCACCATGAAGGAGTCTGTCTTATTACTGGTGATGCGAACCAAACTCTTGCACCACTTGTATAGGGACCAAACAATCCATAACAACAGGCCTCCAATCCCATACTCACGGAGCACCTCGAGGAACATGGCCAAATGTCTTTTCCAAGTCCACAAAACACATGTAGACTGCATGGGCAAACTCCCATGACACCTCGACGACCCTAGGGAGGGTAAAGAGCTGGTTCAGTTTTCCACGGCCAGGATGGAACACACTTTGTTCCTCTTGGATTTGAGGTTCGACCCATGATCGGACTCACATATTTTTGATTAATTTAGTTTATTTTAAAACGGTGCTGAGATGAATTTATGTCATCCTGTGTGGGTAGTCTCAGGAAGTCGAATATTCTTTCATGTTTAAACTCATAGAATGGATTATGCAAATGATTTGCAGCAGCTCCAAGGTTCTGCAATTTTTTTTACATTTGTGTTTATATTATGAGAATGAACTTAATCCTCTAAATTCATTAAAAACACAAGTTCACATTTTACTTCTTTCATCTTGAAACCGGTTGGCAGAGATTTTATAAATTTTTTAGAGACCTAAAGAACACCAAAAAATGTGATGTATTCTGTTTTCTCAAGATTTATCTTGTCGAAAACATGTTTATCTATTAGTCCTTTATCAGTTCCATAATTTTCACTTAGTTTAAACTCTTACTGTCGCTGTCTTAAAGACTTATAAACCGATGAATGAAAATGTTTATCCTTTAAAACCAGGGGTATGAGACATGCGGCTCTTTGGTTCCTCTGCAGTGGCTCGTTCAAGCTTTGACCAAAATTAACAAAAAACTTAATTTTATTCGTTATTAGACCAAAAACAATTAAGAGGTAGTTTTAGCGGTTTTATTGTCATTTCTTTAATATACTAATACTAATAAGGAGTAAAACATTAACTTTATGCTTTACTTTTTCAAATTAGGGCACCTAATTAACTTTTCTACAATTTAAAATTATTACATAGGCCTGCATAGTTTATTGTTGAATTTATTTATTTATATTGGTAAAAATCATGTTATTTTATTCCCTTTTTTATGAGTCTGCTCTTTTATTGTGTCTTAAAATGTAAAAAACACAGTCATAAATAAATGTTAAAAATCATTAGATATTTTTGGTTTCATAATGTCACCCTTACTGGCCAGAAAAGCCCCCTCCAGCAAACGTGGTCCACTGGCCACCAGTTGATGATCACAGTAGCTGGTTTTGCAGCTCTTGACATTTTATATTTAGTGAACGAAGGTGCAGAAATGGCTCTTTTGATTGTAAATGTTGCAGACCCCTGTTTTAAACAAATTAAATTGAAAAAATACGCAGTACGTTTGAGTATGAAAATTATATAAGCTTCATTAGCAGGTAATACACGAGTATGAGAAAACTGTTTAGAAGAGCTGTCAATCTGAAAATATCGTAAAAAAAAAATCTTATTTGCAGTTTCCTGGAAGACTGCATTGCTTTTAAACAAAAATGTTTTCAGGACAAAAGCTATCTTCATCTTTTGAAAAAAAAAAAAAAAAACTATAGAAAATAAAAAAACATATTTTTACAATGACATCTGTGAAAACTAATTTAGTTTCAGCTTGATTTGCTGCACCTCCATGGGGCTGGTTCGTCATTATTTACAGAGCTCTAAAAGAACATTTCAAGATATTTAAGAAAAGTGGGTCAAGACAACCAACTCAGCTCAAGTTGTTCTACTCTAAACAAGAAGAATAAAGGATCAATAGAAATGTGGGGCAACCTGAAGGGAAACGCTCATGTGATCAAACCCAACAACATTCCAGAGTTCAAGATGTTCTGAACAAAGAAATGAGTTGTTAAACGTTTGGCTGTTCTAGCTTCCCATAGAGGTCACACCACATACGAAAAGACTTCCCCCTCTCTCAGTTACGGTACTTTAAATTCCTAAACCTTTACATTTCTAAAATAGCTGAAACTATAAAAAACATGCGAGGATTTTATGACGATTTGCATGTCAGATGTGGTGACTACCACTGAGACAGAGTTTTTAACAGATCAAACTTTACTGATTTTCTTTGGCTCCATCTCATCTTATTCACTCCCACTGCTCTCAGATCAGTGGTGCAGAGATTTTCAGTGACATCCATCCATCCATCCACTTTACCCACTTCTTCCTTTTTGGGTTGCGGGGGTCACTGATGCCCATGTCCAGCCATCATTGTGCGAAAGACGGGGTATACCCTGGACAAGTCCATCACAGGGCCACATATAATAATCTTAAAACTCCAACAAGCGCTATACATCATAGTTCAGATTAATAATTTGCAAGCAGAATGGATTTTCTTGTTGCCAAGACAAAAAAATAAAGTTCTCTTTACTTTGCCAATACAGTGAAAATTAAGCATATATTCAGATATCATGAGCAATTAAAAATAAACTGTATTTTTAAGAACTAATAGATGAGTAACTAACTATAGATTGCTGTATTTTTTTATTTAGATATTGTGTTATGTTTAAATTAGAGCACAAGTCCAACTTATTTAAGTGCATTCAGGTTTTTCATTTTCTCTGTCTGATCACATCCAAGGCGTCTCATTCCCTTCTCGCATTTTTCCTCCTGTCATCGTGCGTTTTGTCTGTTTTTACCCCCCCCCCAGGTATGCCGACCTGCTGACTCCGTACATGAACTCTGTTCCTGCTGTGATCGCCAAAGCCTCAGCCATCCACAACCCCATCATATACGCCATAACCCACCCGAAATACAGGTAGGATGTTGTGTTTTATGCTGAAAGTGGATTCAACTCGTCTTTATTTGTCCCCTTTTAAAACAAACAATTTTTAGTTGAACATGTCTGGATATCTAGGCTCAAATTTGGCAAAACGGTGACAAATAATAGAAGTTTAAAACTTGAATTTGACGCCTACATTTGGACTGCAAAGAATAACTAAAATCTCGAGATTTCTGAATTGCATTTATTTTTCCAATCTGAGCCTTTTGGTTTCCTGCAGACTTGACCAGTCTTTCCACCTTAATGTTTTTAAGACACTTAAATAAAATTACATCTTGTTTCATGTAGTTTTTAAACCTACAATCACACAAAGACAGAAAAGCATACCTTCATATGAACACTGTCACCGTTTTATTTTCAACTTCAAACTGAGCACAGTATTTTTTTTTACACCACGTTATAACCACATTATTAGCAATTTTATTCAATCAGTATTAAAAGTCATTATTTTAATGCAATTCTCAGTTTGCTTGTGTGATTAGCATATTTTCAGTCATTTGTCTTGCAAATGAGAAAATTAGAATTATTCCACACTTTTAGTTTTTCAAAAGCTTTTTGTGATTTATCTTTAACAACTAAAATGGGACACTATCTGAACGTGTGCATTTTGTAACTTAGCAGACCAAACCTCAGCTCCTGATCTTCAGAGGATTACAATGAAAGTCTGTCTGCATTAGTTAAAATACCACAGTCCTTCATTCTGAGGAGGCAAGATCCATGCAGGCGAATAACTTTAAAAAAAAAAAAAGGTTCTCCCACATAAAGAAAACATCAGTTTAAACTAATACCGATGTAAAATAAATATCACAAGAATAGAGCTCATTTTACCGTCAGTCAGTTTATGCTTGATCTCAAACTCATCCAAAGAAAAACTTGATACTTTATTATTAAGCCTCCCCATCATCAGACATCTACATCGCCAGATGCAGGAAGAGGGCCACCTGCATCATGAAGGACCCCACTCACCCAGCACACTCACTTTTTGCCTCGCTTTCCTCAGGCAGAAGGTTGAGGAGCATTAAGTGTAGAACCACCAGACTGAGGAAGAGCTACCCTGAAGCTATTAGACTCATAAATCCCTAACCAGAAAAATCACAAAAAAAAGAAAAAAATGTCACCGTAATGCCACTTTGATCGGTGAAATGTGACTTATCTGTGCTGCTGATTATTCATGCTGCTGATCTCATGCTGCTGTATTCATTCATTCATACCGATCTGCTCACCACAGACTCATGTTTGGGCTGCTGTTACGCTCTATTGTTTTGTATTATCAGTGTTTAGTGTATATCTTAGTTCCTTATTTACTTTTTTAATACACTATTTTTGGGTGTGACTGGGACCCTGTGTACACAATTTCATTCCACCTCATGTACCACATGTGATGAAATGACAATAAACCAACTTAACTTGATTAAGACCTGTTGTCAGGATTTGTGCTTTTTGTTTGTTTTTATGTTTGTTTACAGTTCGAGTTGATTCCTTTTTGATATTTTGTTCATTTTCTGAGCTCCTCTCCTGCACCACCAGCTCACTTCTCCTCAGTCGGTTTCTGCTCTTCAGTCCTGCCTTTGCAGCACCTGCTCCTTGTAATCATTAGTCTCACCCGTCTCCTCTTACCTCATCAAACCCTCATTTCTTCTCTGTCTTCATATCCTGTCCGAGTCTTGTCCAGATCTCATTTTTTGATTTGTACCTGTACGATTCAATTAGTGATTTTTATTGAATTGAGTGGGTTTCTGGGTGCCGCCACAAGACTTATTTTTTTTCTTTCATAGAAGACACTCATTTTTAAAAAGCATATTTGTTCAGCAGTTGTTTAACCATTTTTGTTGCCAGACATTAGTGTACGTTTGCTCTGCTTCCGTTTCTTATTTATTCACACTTATCCGTCATCTGCAATTTCAATTTTTGATGACATTTTGTCACAAAGTCACCCTCATAACTAAAGATGCACGATATTGGATTTTTGGCAGATGTCCGATATGCCGATATGTTAAAACGTATTTGGCCGATAACCAAAACGATATTTTATATATTTTCCTTTGTCAGAACATAGCCCTCTTATTTAAGCTTATTTGCTACAAAAATTGTGTAACAGCTGTAAGAGCTGGTGACATATTCAGTAACAGCCATATGATATAACTTATATTAAATGAAAAAAATGTTAAATGTTATTTATTAGCATTAGTCACCTGTGATGCTGTCTCACTTGTGGAGGCTTGTTCCAGGTTCCTAGCTGCAGTGTGGGATCCTCTGTACTCTTGTGCATGAAGGACAGACTTTTTAAGTTCAACGTTTTTGTCTATCCATTGTGCCGTAAGACTAATCATGCTAACGGGGCTAACATGACGTCCAAATGTCTGTGGTAAAACTCACCCAAGTGCTATCGGCTATTAGCTTCTCAATGACGTCGGAAATGACAACTTGTAATTTGGGTAAGTGGGGTATGTCGGAAAAATATCTCCGACTGGAGACGACGTAGAAAGGCTCAACCTAGTCCAAAAATCTTCGTAATCTGATATCCTCAACGAAAAATAACTTCCACACCGTCAACATTTTCACTTCTTCCTCTCCATTGTGATCAGATCAGGTAGGCGCGCGTGACGTCATCACGTTGCGCTGCCGCTGCAGGCGTCCTCGTCACTGGGTTGTCATACAAAAACAGTGTCTTTTATATCGGTGAGTTATTTTGATGGAATGGCCCATGTCCGATATTGAACTTTAACGCTAATATCGGCCGACACCAATACCATGCAGATAATATTGTGCATCCCTACTCACAACCTTAAAATGAGATTCAGTTCAGGGCTTTTATTGAACTATTCCTCAAGTTTCCCTGTTCAGTATTTAGTAGATTTCATTTGCTCTGATTTTATCATCAATTTGTGTTTATTTTTTCTATGTTTCTCAGATCAGCGATCAGCAGATACGTTCCATATCTTGGCATGTTGCTCTGCATCACTGGCAGAGACCGCTACAGCCGCAGCAGCCTCCAGTCCACGCACCGATCGACACTGACCAGCCATTCGGAGTTCAAAGGCCCCGGCAAGCACCACAACTCCTCCCAGTCCGAGAGCGAATCAGTGAGTGTTCCTCATGTCTAATCTGGTATGTCTCTGCCCTGCGCCTCCTTCCACAAACGCTTTAAATTAGGAGCTGCTGATTTTGGTTCTGTGTCCTCTCAGGCACGCTTCTCGGACACAGAGGAGGACTGCTCGTCCCGGACTCCCGTCAGTCACCACTTGCCCGTCGACGTCAAACAGGTGCGCCGTGCCAGCCAGAGGTCAAAGGTGAGTGGTCACGGCGGAGGAGAGTTTGAAAGAGCTGCTGCCCTGAACCCCACCGACCCGGCAGTTTGTCACCTTTCACAGCTCACTGTGAGTACAAAGGCCTGCAGCGTCAGCACACGCTCAGACACATTTCAATGTGAACACGTTTGTTAAACGCAGACTTTTAATTTGATAGTTGTCACGGAAAGATGACGGGTCAGGTAGGGCTCGTTTCATACTGTGCTTCTCTTCTATTAAAAGCCGTTTCAGATTCTGCTCAGCAGCGTTTGAAAACTGAGGTCATGTTACTTTAGAGTCCGGTTAAAATCAGCAGATATACTTTATTTTGCTTCTGTATTTAAAATATGGATGAAAGTCCATGAGGTCCTGTTAGTTATCGGTTATGATTAATGGCCACGGTGATAGAAGAGATGTGTCCTTGGGCAAGACACTGCCCCCAATATGCTTATCAGTGTATGAGCGAGAACATAAAGTGCACATAGTGTAAAATATTTAACAGAGCACTGGATGTATGTGAATGGGTGAAAATGAAATATCGTAAAGCATTTTGGAGAGCTCATAAAGGTGTTACATAAATGTGGACCATTGAAAGTGGCCAGCAAACTGTGCAGCCACAATTTGTGCATAGCATTTTTTTTTTCAAGGATTCAAGGTTCTATATTGTCATTCACATCACGTGATACATGAGGTGGAACAAAACTATGTACACAGGGTCCCAGTTATATCCGACAAAAATACAAATTGTAAAAAAAAACAGTAGTAAGATCTAAGATATGAACTAAATACACTAAACACTAATAGTACAAAACAATGCATCAAACAACATCTGCACGAACATGAGTCCGTGTGAGCAGATGAGGACAAATGAACACAGCAACATGAAATAAAACCGCATGAGATCAGCATCATGGATAACCAGCATCACACAACTAAGTGGTATTACAGTGATTTTTTTTTTCACAGTGATAATCCTGACCAGGATTCATGAGTCTAACAGCCTCAGGGTAGAAGCTGTTCCTCAGATTGGTGGTTCTGCACTTAATGATCCTCAACCTATGCCTGAGGGGAGCGGGGCAAAAAGTGTGTGTGTTGGGTGAGTGGGGTCCTTCATGATGCAGGTGGCCCTCTTCCTGCATCTGGAGGTGTAGATGTCTGTGATGGTGGAGAGTCTGACTCCAGACTTCTGTGCAGCCTTCACCACTCTCTGCAAAGCTTTTCTTTCTGCAGCTGTGCAGCCTCCATGCCAGCAGCATGCCTCCATGCCTTCTGTTGATATCTAGGAAAAATAAATTGTTGCTATGTAAAAAAAAAAAATCTGAAAAAAGAATCTGAACGTAAAATTGTGCAGAAACAGAGCTGCAAAAAATCAAAGTTCAACAGGTTTGTTTTTCCGCATCGTGATCAAAGTGAAGTCTAACCAGCCGTGACATGACCCAGATGATGTTGCATCTAGAAGTCAATAGCAAAAAGAAATTCTGTCCAAGCTTCTCCAGTTTGAAACCTCTAGATCTGTTCGCATTTTAAGCCTTGAGGTTACATGTGGGTTAGCCCATGAGTTTGAGGTGCAGGCTTTCAGAGCCTCAAGACCCAAAGTGTGATGTGTCCATAGTTGTCAGAAGTTTTGTGTTTGAAGGCAAAACAATTTGACGGTCACACCCAGGAGGGACACACTTCTATTACCCAGAGAGGGATAAACTATTGCTCTTTTTAAACACAACAAAGGACAATTCTGGGTCATTTGATGTGAGTTTTTGTGAAGCATTTATGAGCAGCAGGA